AGAACGCCGGCGCCACCGACGCCACTAATGATATGCGACCTGCTGCTGCCGGGCAACCTGGAAACTTGAGGACCCAAGATTCGGGTTCCCTCGTAATAAACCGCAGTAGAAAATTCCATCTTGAGAGATACGATTCATGGATTATTGCGTGAAGAACGAAAATACCAGTGGCGCTTAAATGCGCCGCGGCGTCTAACGCTGTTTCTATCGCATACACATTTTCATTCGCTGTTTCGAAAACAATTTACTAGCAACTATTTAATCGAAGGTAAATTTTTTATCTTTGGAGATCCAAAGTGTGTGTACGCTATTCTCGATTCTTTATACTTGCGCCATCCATGTTTCGAGAGCCTCAGACGACAATCGTTAGACCTTTGCGGGGGCGATACGTGTTCTCACGAGTTAATTTGCAATTCAGCACGCACACGCATACGCGTCAATTGATATAATTCGTTCGGCGCGCGTTACAGTTTCCTCCTTTGCGCACCCTCGTTCGCGGGTTCACCATTTCAATCGCTTAGGTTCGCGTGAATTACCGCCTCCGGCTCTTTACGGCACATCAAAGAGACAAGGGACCGTGGAAGACGCGTCCCCTCGTACACGCGGCTGTCTTAACATATTCGAATCCCAAGGTATCTCTCCTTCTTCCCGCGCGCGTACCTACTCTTCTCCTTTCGCTTTCGCTCTCGTTCGCCCACCTTCGCCCTCCGCACGGTGGAAAAGCGGCTCGTTGCTCCTCAAGGAGGCATATGGAAGATGTTTGACGTGCCGGCAATTCAAGGAGAGAATGCGGGGCGATTGATCCCTAAGAGCCCCGAGGATAAACTCCACGCGTTTTTTCGCTCGGGAAGAAATATCTCTCGCGAGGCGAGAAAGAAGCCGCGTGCGTGCGCGCGAATAAAGTGTTTATTCAACCGGAGGTGCACCGTATTGACGTGAAATTTTTTTCTCATCGCCCCATATGCCGGTTATTTATTCACCTGCCAGCAACGTCTTAATTTACCGGAGAAGTTTTCAACGTACGCGTCATAACATACAATTTGCAGTCTCACAGTGCACAGATGAGCGCAATTCAAATACAATGTATAATAATATCATTAATGATAAACAAACTAATTAATTTAATTTGTCTCTCAAAGCTTTTTTACATCTAAAACTCTCTCAGTGGCGTTAAAATCGCGTAGAGAAGAGGTTCAAAATATTTTTCACCATTTTTTCCATAACAATAAAACCGAAATTAGTTATGCATTTGATTAATTATATGTATCTTCACTTGTTCCAGGTGGCCATAAAGATAATAGACGTCGGGCAAGGTAAGAAGGATTACGTAATGAAGAACTTGACGAGAGAGGCAAAGGTGCTGTCGATGCTGCAGCATCCGAATATCGTGAGACTCTACGAGACCATTCGGGTGAGTGAGAAGTACCTTAGGATGCAAGTTTACGGAACTTCGACGATCGATCAAATCTTTTTTCACCCCAATTGACCGCATTGGAAGTTTAATCGAATTTTTAATAACAAAGACGATTTACCACGGTCAATCAACAAGATCCAACTGCGCCCAATGTACCCTTTTATATAACGATCTATTCACTCCTCGTCGGGAGAACGAGGGAGCTATGCTAGTCCATCTCGCGGATCCCTCTTCTAGGGAAATCTATCCCCCCCTCTGCCCCTCCAGATTCTACGTTGCTCTTCGGTCACGCCACTCTCACCCGGTACATGACGTTCGTCAGAAACCCGTGACAAATCGCGAGTGTCCCGAAATTTCAGCGATGCCGGAGTCTGTTAACGCCACCCGAGAGAAAGATGATCCATCTTTCTGGATTTAATTAAACACGCCATTTAGCTAAATTTATGAACCAACTCGGATGCGTATCGAAGTTGAAGAGCACTTCACCCCTTCAAGCGTTTCGCTTCGCGAGAAACTTGGGGCTCGGGCGAAAAATGATTGTGTATTTCTTACGATCTCAATTTTCGAGCTCTTATTAGCGATATAAATAAACTGCTGCATTTTCGACGGATATTCGGATTTTCAATTCAGATTTCAGCACGGCGAGTGCATCGAAAATGTTCTCCGTGTTTATTCGCGACGATAGAAGGCTCAATATTTTTCCTACAACGAGCATCGGAAATTGATCTCGCCGAAATCATACCGATTTCAATCCGCGGATGTAAACTCGGAAATTATTTTTTTGAGTTGCAATCCTTTCCGCGCCGATACGGAGGTAGCCTGGACCGGGGACCCATTAATGCACTGTATCGTACGTGACCCGACCGCTATGGACGCGAGCGTTGACCCAACACGCGGACCGCGGTTCCACACGCATGCAGCACGCGCGCACAGCGAAAGCGTACGCGGGCACGCGGGCGAGAGGAAAAAAGCCGGAGGGAGGACTCTCGTATGCTTGTACGACGTAATTGAATTCATGTGTGGGACGTCGATATCAGAGGCTCTCCGACGGCGCAGCGTCGCTCATCTCGTTTACTCTGAAAATTTTGTTAGTCCGCGCGCTCGCTCGTCACGATCGAATTACGAGGACCAAGGGTGTATACGCGCCGGGAAAGATAAAGTACGTAGGAAAATATGACGGAAACGCGGCGAGCGCGCGCGGTTGCCGTGCGATTCGAGAATTTCGGTGCTCTGCGAAATATTTGCGTGAGATGAACGGACAGCTGGGGTGGTCGGTCGACGGTCCTCGGAGACGCGTAAAATTTTTCAAGCTGAATACATTGCCAGAATCATTTCGTTCACACGAGTCATTACATTTTATTTGTGAAAAATCATGATTTTTCATATCTTCGTGCTTGTTAATCCACAAAAATTATCAGACGAATTTCTACACAGAAACAATTTTAGTTACGTTTTTTGCAATATGCGATAATATACAAAAATTATATTCGAATAATTTAAGAATGTGAGCATTATATGCTACAGAATCTCTGCAAATATCCATTAAAAAGGCGTTTTTTTTTTGTGAGTTTTCATAAATGGAGAAAACGAGTTTGGGGACTGCGTCGTTCGATTCTTCTCTCTCGACGGCAATGATTTTATAGTCTGCAGATGGTATTACTTTCTTCGCGTTTATAAAACGTATAGAGGAGTGCGTCTTGTTTTATTTAAGCTATCCATCGAGGGAGAAGAGATATCGACGATGAGAATGCTCGCACCTGACGGCAAATATGATAATATCGAGATGAGACTCCGCCTCGCCTTTCTTGCCGTCGCCAAATTGGATATATATGACGTCGTCTTATATCTCATTTCCACGTCGTAATCTTTACGACGGGAAAGCCGCGCCTAGGGTGCTGACATTCATGCGCGATTTCGACTGCCGATTCCACTGGATCCCTTGAACATCTGTGCCTGCATGCAGATCGTAAAATATATTCGTTTTCCAGACAACTCAGCTTTTGTAAGGTCATACGTCAGCAACGCGATGACGACCCCGTTTTCAAACAGCGATATCGTACTATCGTCGATGCTACCGGGGCTAATCGAGTATGCAAATGGTTAGTCTCCCTTGTATTAATTATTGATAGCATCCGAATTTTGATGTCAAACGCGCTGCCGCAAGTTTTCACATTTCCATATTTATGAATAATTTATTCTAGTAAAATGTAGCTCTCGTGATACGCGATACATCTTTCTGATTTAACATGAAAATTTGCGTGGACGCGATTTATATGAATAATTCTGTTATAATTAATTATTTGATTACATATCAACAACAAAAAATCACAAGAGTCATACAAATACAATTACAGTTACGAAATCGCATAAATAAAAAAAAATTATTCTATACTAATTATTCGAGCTAATTAAAGCCACACACATCTCAATTACTTATATATTGTATTATTATAGTTGTGTAATAAGAAAGTGTGCAATATATGTTCGTAAATTACGTGGTACTTCTGAATCATTCTGTATGCAATAAGAAAGCGCGCACGCGTGCCTGTCAATTTTTACGAAGATGCATGTCCGGTCATCAACGCGTTACTCATTCTCGGAATATTGGAGGAAAGCCGCTTTAAGCGCCAATTAAGGTCATTACTGTTGGCCTACGGCGGCCGTAAATGCGCCACTCGCGCGATTTTATGTCGGTACCGATGTTACGAGCCGAATAAGACTCGCCTGTTATTGGCGTCCAACGACGCCATCCTTCGTTCGAGGGATGAAATCGCTACAAAAGTGAACGCGTCAACAGCCGCGTTAGCAGCCGATTATTATAATGAATTTGAGTTGCGTCGGTGGGGAATCACGATGTTATCTTAATAAATAATATACCGTAGAGATTTGGAGGAGCATTTTGCACGACGTTTTTATTAAGAAGAACGATTGCGCGCAACCGTGTTGAGAAAATAAGAGAATTTGTTCGCAAAACCTGCAACGACAGTTTGATTTAAGCGGACAATGATTTAAGCGACCGCTGGAAGCGATTCAGAAATCCCGCGATCGCAGAATCATAGAACACGCAAAGGTTAAATTCGCGCTGGGGTAGAGTCCGTTCTAAATTACGCTCGGGATAGGACAGGATTCTACAACTCACACGCACCTTTTTGGCACGAGAACGACCCCGCCATACACTTCTTGTTTCGCTCGGGAGGAATGACTTCCACATTCCTTTCCTATCTCCGACTTTTCCGCCGCGCCGTGTCTTCCCTTCCCTCGTTTGCATACGCCGAATTTACGTTCCTATTTTACCCGTACACGGTGATATATCGAAATCGTGTATCTCACGTCCCATCCGGGAACCCTCGGCTCACGTTGATTTGGTTGGCAAGCGCCGGGCGTATCAACGAATCCCCCGCCAACGAAACGGCGATTCTTGCCAAACGAGATAGAGCGGCGACGTGCGTCTCTCGCGAATTGACTTTGCAAGTGGTCTCCGAACCCCCTTAGAAATTTTCATTTAGTTTCTATCGGCTAAGTTTCCCTGCGCTGTTTCCGCCGCGTCCCGTGTTGTGTAAAGCTTAAATCAGGCGAAACGATGTTTCTGACTTGTTTTCTAACCGGTTGTTCAACTGACTATCGAATGAATTGTCTATCCAGTTCATGACAACACACTTTACATCTTAAGAAGTCTCTTCCTTCTCCTTATTTAAAAGATTCATGTCAAGTTTTACATTTTATCTCGTAAAATCTTGTTGCAAGGAATGCTATATGAAATCCTTGAAGCAACTAATAGCAAAAAGACAAGTTATGAATCTTGTTCCGTCTGATTTCTGTTTAACATTCAGTCGCGCTGCGCGAAAGCGATATTTATTCGGATCTCGTGTGACCCACACGATCCATAATTAAAGCAATCGGACTACTCCAATGCGGCCAGGCCAAAAGAATTAAATAATCATCGGCGCCTGGAGAACACCGATTCGCCAGTCGCGACGAATTCGCTTCGACCGTAATTCGCTACTCACGCGTTGACGCATGCTCGCTCGCTGTCGCCGCATGCATATCGTTGCATTAAGATAATCGCTTAATCGACGAGGTCCATGCTCGTGTCTCGCGAGCACGCGCAAAATTCGGGAAACGCTTTCTCGATAATTGTAACGCGCCTCCGCCTCCCGGTGCATTTTAAATGCGCGTGATCAATTTCGCACGACCGGTCCCGACAGCTCGTTGCTTGTTGCTCTATTTTCACGAGTGGCGACTAATATATAGCCGCAATTCGGCAGCAAGCCGCACGAAACAAAAAGATGAGAAAAAATTACGCAGGATCCACTCTTAAAAAAGGCATGTTATTGACTTTTGAAGCCTCTTTTCGTTGCTATGCGACGGTTATCGATCGGTTTATCTGTCCCGAAGTACGCGTTGACAGCTTGTATTTTGACATAAAGCTGTATGACTTTATGTACGTGTCGTTTGACAGCTCAAGTTTAAAGTGGTGTTTATTAAGTTTAAAGTGGTATTGACATAAAGCTGTATGACTTTATGAACGTGACGTTTGACAGAACAAGTTTAAAGTGGTGTTTATTAAGTTTAAAGTGGTATTCATTAAAGTTTAAAGTGTTTAACAAATGGATACAATTTATTACATTGAGGTAAGTATCTATTTTAATTAGAGAATTATTTATTTATATAGAATTAAAATTATATATTGTTTTAGAATTTGATTCATAGAAAGATTTAGAAATAATTATTAGAATTAGAGAAAGATCAAATTCTCAAATAATATATATTGTATTTCTAATTCTAATAATTTATTCTAAATCTTTCTATCAATCAATTATATTCCCTTTTATTTTCTATCATTTCCTAATTCTAATAATTTATTCTAAATCTTTCTATCAATCAATTATTAAATATTTATTTGATCCGAGTAAATATTTTCTTCATTCAAGTAAATGATTTTTTTGATTCAAGTGAATATTTACTTGAATCAAATAAATATTTACTTGAATCAAATAAATATTTACTTAGTCCAAATAAATATTTATTTGATTCCAATAAATATTTACTTGCACCAAGGAAGGAAAGAGAATTAGAAAAGGCGCGCGTGTATGTCCTAAGTTATTAAATTTATAATGCGACATCATGAATCGTGCAAGCTTTTTTTTCATATGCACAATTCAAATGTATATAGTTGTAAATTTTAATTATATCCTGCAAACAGAAGTTTCTTCAAAACCAAGACATGACTATATTTATTGCTATTCTCAATATAATTTTTATAAATTTAAATTCTTATAAAATATGCTTGACGCAAAATGCGTTTTCTTGTATTTACAATAAAATTAAAGTACAATGAAATTATACGAGTTCTGGAATTTTAATCAAAAAACATCCGAGTAATTTAGCATGTAAAAATCTGATGATTACGAAACTCTCGTGTTGCTGTATCTCTTAGGGTCGTACAGCGATGTATCCGCGCAATCGATGCAAATCGATAACGGTTTAATTACACACTTGCTTACAGTGCGGATCCGTGTACTATCTCGTGACGGAACTCGCGACCGGTGGCGACCTGTGCACGCACATTAAGGAGCAGCCGGCCGGTAAACTGGACGAGAACACGGCCAGGCTCTATGCCAGACAGCTGGTCGCCGCGCTCAAGTACATGCACTCGAGAGGAGTCGTTCACCGGTGAGTCATCCATGTTTTAACCACGCTGTGCGTAAATTTCCGAACAATCTCGCGTGGCAGCCCGCGGCCGGGTCAAAACTTTCCGTAGTTTTCTATATAAAAACAATTTACGAAGCTCTAAATTTTCTTTTATAAAACAAAAACTCATTGTCAATCTAAAGGCAAAAAGATCAAAATTCTTATAACATTTTAATTATTATTATGTTAATTCAAATTTATATTTTTTTAAAAACCTCCTCTAATTTGATTAAAAAGTAAGAAAAATTAAAGATTATTTTATTGGAAAAATTTTATTTTATTATATCACGATATTCGCTAGCGGAAATATTTATGCAGATAGCATAAATTGACCATAAGATGCAATAATCTCATGAGGATCTATCGAATGCAATCGTCTACTTGCGCGTTTATCCTCCACGGTCTAATAATATTCAATAGCACGACGTGTCGTGTCTTTTTTCCAGTTGACCGCGGTGATGTACGGTGTTGGCCGGCCGTAACATTTAAATAAAGAAATCGCCCGATGCATTACACACGAGGGAGCGCTTGCGATCGCGATCCCGGAGAACCACTCTTCCGTCCCGTCTCGTACGATCGCGCCGTGTCGATAACGACGCGTGTCCCTGTTTATTACGGACGGAATTATACTCGCGAGGATCCCTGCTCGCGCGCTTCCCGTGGCCGAGGGAACATTCTTCGTCCGACGATTAAACGCGGCTCCCTGAATTAATTGACTGGCAACACGGGCAGGTTCGCTGCATTACGCGTGTGCTAATTTCGCTGGCTGTTTAATTTATCAGACTGGAAACGATTCCTATTTATATATCTTGCATCCAAGGATTACCGCAAACGCGCTTTAGCGAAATATGATTCGAGGCTCCCTACAACTTGCTTTAATATAAAAAGTTAGCGTCACAATCTAAAATTGAAATACAAGGTGCCATTTATCGTCCTCATTTTTCATCATATATTGTATTTTTATACTGCGCCAACATATTGCGGAACGCGCGAGTATAAGTAAGGCTGCTAAATCGAAATCGTGGATCATTTTTTCACGACGACTCCCCGCAGTCGAAAACATATAGGGTGTCCCGCTATGTAACTGCGTGTCCTTTTGATCGCTATTGTACTAGAAATTGAACTAATAAAAACGATATTTGTTTCTGTCGGCATCGACAGCTATACAGCTACATCAAACTACACGAATCCGCGGAATCTGCAGACATTTAAAAGAATACGTTGTACTTCCAGTCACCGTTTATATTGCGAGTGCATTAGCATCCTCGGCGCGGAAACACGTATCGCGATATTTTCGTGAGCATCGCGATATTATATATGTCACACGAGAAGGGATGGTTGATTTTCAATACATTTGTAAAGAAGGTGTCGCGGCGCTTCCCCCGCGAGAAAGAAAAGGCGTAATGACGCACGCACGTGACGCGCCGCGACGAGGACTAGTTCCGTTGCTCGGCAAAGGATCGGAGAATATAAAGTAGTTGGCAATATGGCGTACGCCGCGGCAGTTTGTTTTCGTCGAAGGCGCAAAGTCTCAATCTCAGATGATGGTGATAGATCGTCGCTCTCACGGACTCGCACGTCGAGGGAGGGCAGGGAGCGGGGGGATGGAAAGAGAATGTCGGACCGCGAGGGATCTTGCGAGGAGGGTTAGGAAAATCGCTATAAGCGATCGCTTAACCCCTCGAGAGATTAGCCCGTTCTTCGGTCGCGGGAGACAGCGAGAGAGAAAGAGAGAGAGAGAGAGAGAGAGATAGGGCCTACTAATGGGAATGGAGAAGATTTTGTGCTAAGGATAGTTAACGATCACTGCTCGCGGATGCACTCTTTTTTGCCGCGCTAGATATCCTTAGATTAAGACAAACTGTTCTGACTTATTTCTGATGTTACAACTTCTCTTCGAGTGCACTTCGAATTATTTTTGCGATAGTGGTTTATTTATTTATTTATTTTTTTTTTTAGTTATTTTCGGCTAAATTGTGATTAATATAATGATCGATATACCTGATTGAAATTTCTTTGAATAGTTTGATCAAATTGCAAAAAGCAATTCATTGCGGATCGCAATAGACATTGCGTGTTATTTAATAACTCTATTTTTTACTCTAAATTCTGATTTTTACTCTAAATTCTGTGAAAGAAAATATCAAGAAAAATTGATAAATAATAATGAAATAGAATTATGTAAGCAATGAATGAAAAATTGCTTGGCCTTTATTTTTGCTCGATATTTTCATGCACCGCCGCGTTATATTATTCGACAGATTTTTCGCAACTTTTTTCGACGAGAGAAGATTGTGAAGAGAGAGAAGGATCTTTAATACAGCAGGCCTCTTCGACCGAGACCACCGAAAGCTCACGTTTTAATTCCGACGAATGCCTCCTGTTTGCCTCGCCATTATTCGCCGGACAAAGCCTTGATCCTCGAGGCACAAGAGCACGGACTTCCTGCGGAATCCTCGTGACCGGTAGTAGGATTACGATTTCTCGACTCTCTGCTATGCTATTACTATCACGCCACGAGAGAAAGAGAGAGAGAGAGAGAAAGAGAGATAGTCTCAATGTGTTCAGCAAAAGCCGCCTCGCTTGTATATCGTCGCTTTTACTTACGCGGAAAAACCAGTTCCGGCAAGTAGTAAGAGTAAACGATAAAGGTGTAAATCAAGTACCGCCGCGTTGCTCGTCGACGATATTTGACGCAACTGATAGTGATCGTTTTATGCACTTGCTTAGGCATATATAACGATTATTATTCTTAACAATACATTTATTTTCCTCTATAAGAAGAGATTACTTTCCTATTTGGCTTGCTGATTTTTATGTAACGGATATTCAAGTTTACTTATTCATCTATAAAAGTATAAGAAAAACTTACCAATTTTCACGATACTGTGAATAAAATTGAAATAAAACTAAAAGTACAAATCCGCAAAATCTATTTCTCCATACGTGAATACAAGACACGAAAAGATCCGAACGTGAGCTTATTTATGCCGTATTTATTTACCGTTCTTGAAAGTGCAGGGATAGAACTTTCAAATGCTGCTCTACAGCGGCGTGTGAGGTCAAAGTTCTCCGGTGCAAAAGGATCGTAGAGACGTAAGCGGCGAATATTCAACAGAAGTCAGTACCGTAATAATCTAGGATAAATTCGCCTCTCTCTCTCTCTCTCTCTCTCTCTCTCTCTCTCTCTCTCTCTCTCTCTCTCCATCTGTCCTAAGGTCACGTGCAAAAGAAGCGGGAGTGGGAAAGGCGGAAAAGTATCTCGGAAAGTATCAGCGGCTAGCGGTAGAGACGTTAATGGACACGAGCACTCGGTTATCCGCCTAAGTATAGTGCTTACGGTGCCTGTATATCCTTCGGCCCGTTATACGCGTAGATTCGCCGGTCCAGAGCGCTTCCGCCGGCTGGCTAATCGAGTCTACGAGGCTGGCTAATTGTGTGTGGCTCCGTTCGCCGCCAGTGACCTTGATCTCGCGTACAAGCTCGTTTTATTCTACCATTCCTATTCTACCAGCGTTCGTCGTCGCCCGGATGTCGCTTCAATTCTCTTCTCTCCCGCACAGAGCACGATTATTTCTCCCCCTCCCTTCCCTCTCTTCTCTTCGAGAAAGTTTTTCGTGAGGCCGACTGGAGGAGGACAATACGCGAGATGGTAACAAATAGTTATAGCGTGTTTTCACGCATGATAATTATTTGAAACATCAAAAAATTTCATACTTATTGTGTAAAATTAATTGGCTCGATTTATGTTCAATTGCTAAAAATATTTTTCTTTAATCATAAAATATATATTTTAATGAATTCCTAATTAATGTGTCGACGTTGAAAGTTATGAGGGAAAAAATAATTTTTTTTATATTGAAACCCAACGAGAGAAACATTTAAGTTTCGCAGATAGAAAGCTCTCGGTGCATTTATGGTATGACGAAAAGTGATGACATGTGTAACAATATCGGACCGATCACCGAGAGCGAGCAGCGTGACGAAACGGTCGATCGGTCGGCTGATCGGATCAATTGATGGCAAAAGTGCAACGATGCCCGCCGGTCTCACGACGCAGTCACGCGGTAGTGTTCCACGAACTTTAGCATTTGTACTAACCGCGAACGGGTCGGCTCGATAATCCGTATTAACATGGGAATACGAGTATATTTCGAGGCCGGTGCCGAGCCTCAATAACGTATTGCCTATTACATGGAAACGATATCGCTCGATATCTTGCGCCCCGTGCACACCTCGAACACGTCCGCTCATTGCGACAGCTCTCCCTCAGCTCTCGCACCGAGCAATTTCAACTTGGAATCGCGGCGAAACTGAATCGGCAGTTATGCCAGTTTCACACGAATCAACCGCAAAATAAATCAACCAATAAAATTTATCGATCAGCAATGAAACTGTTCAATCTTTGTAATATTTATAGATTATGAAATAACTAAAGATTATCTAAAAATTAACATATGATACTACACTAGTTTCTGATTATATTATGTAGTTATAAATTATTATCAAACTGCAATAGTCAATTATTGATGATTTTCATAATTTTCTTTTTTTATTGTTTATTATTTAGATGACACTTTTATGTAGATTCAATAGAATTTAGTGAGAAAGATCTGGAAAATCACAAGAGTGTACTAGCTGCTGAAAGGATTACGAATCACTGATCTATTTTCTATAATAAATTTATGATACGCCACTTTATCCGTGTGAAATCGGCTTTACTCTGCGGTCATACTTAAATATAATTCGCCGGCGGCCATTCTGAAATAATATTTATTATGCTTGCTGGAGCTGCACGAGGACGCTCGTTTCCATCGAAAGCACGAGTTCGATTATTCCCGTGGTGGAGAGAATTTAAAGTGTGCAGGATTGCTCCCCGATTTACTACGCCACCCGTAATGGACACGTTACCTTCCAAGTTTCGTAATCGATATCATGCCTCGCCGTAAAAGATATGACACGGCCATCATCATGGATAAGAA